GTATTTTTATCTTATAAGAATTCACTAAATTGTATACTTATTTATTGTTGCTTTGCTAAACATACGTTAAATTTCAATCAACTTTGCTAACTGTATGTGAGGTTTTCAGACCTCCTGCTCTTCCCTATTCTGGCACTCAGGATTAATTCAAGACTTAAGAGCATCTTAAGAAAAAGGAGACACAATGGAACATTCACCAATTTTTTTTTAGAGAAAACTCCACTACAGATTGTAGAAATTGAGACAGAAAAGGAGAACTTACATAGTAAAAACAAATAAATTGTTTTTCAGGAATACTTTAAACAATGCAAATAAATACGGATTCAAAAGAGTAAGACCTGCCTATCTCATTACCACCATCTCTCAGCTATGTGGGATTGACATGGCATTTAATCCTTTAAAGCCCCACCTATAGAATGAGCATAATAATATTATCTGTCCTATCACCCACTTACATGCTCACTGTAGGGACTGGCACCTCAAAAATAAGAGTTGTTGATGTATTGACTGAATTGGAGTTTTTCTGCTCAAATGGCAAGCACTTGAATGGCTGGTAACTATGTAAACATAAGCATGATGTTCATGTTATGAAATTGTACTTACTTTACATAAGAAATAGTTTTCCTTGAGATTAAAAAAAAAAAGTGTTAAATCAGGGAAGGATTTGCAGGTGTACCTGAAAAGGACTTCGGATGTTTTTTGGAAACTTCCAAATTTTTAGTACATTAGTTATCTGTGAACATCTGTTCAGAAACACTGTTTCCATCTGATTTTTAAATTTTAATTTATCAGGGGATGTGTTATGCCATAGCCTAACATTCATGGCATGTTTTAGGGTGGTATTTAATGATTGTTATTGTTTGGATCTTTAATGTTGCCTGAAAAGATCATGTGGGACAATGCAGCAATGTCTGAGATGAAATTATTATAGTAGAGAGTTGTAACCTAATCACTGGGTTAATCTTTTGATGTATTAATGATCTGAATGGACTACTGTGTAGGAACTGTGGACAGGTGATGTATTAATGATCTGAATGGACTACTGTGTAGGAACTGTGGACAGGTGGGGTGTAACTGGAGAAAGTAGGTCACTAGGGCTGTGCCCTTATGGATTATATTTTGTCCCTGGCTTCTCCTCCCCTCCCTCTGGTTCCTGGCTGCTATGCGCTGCACAGCTTTCCTCTGCCACATCCTTCTTTCATGGCGTCCTGCCTCATCGCAGGTCTACAGCAATGGAGTTGGCCAGCCATGGACTGAATCCCTGAAACTGTGAGCCCAAACAAACTTTCCTCTTCTAAATTGTTCTCATCAGGTATTTGGTCACAGTGGTGGAAAACCAACTTACACAAATATTATTCACTGTTGAAGTGTCATCATCATTAAAAGGTTCATGTGTCTTTTATTCCACTTCAAGTACAAGCTCAGAGAGGTAGACCTGAAAGAGTCACACTAGAATATCAGCTGGATGCTTATTCTGTGAACTTGTACTATATAAGTTTGAATGTTTCATTGTCTGCAGAATGGAAGTGAAGTGTACTTCAAATTGCTTTATTTTTTTTTTTGAGATGTTCCAGAAAGAAAATTCCTTTCAAAGCATCTGTGTCTATAAAGAGCTCTTTAAATATTAGATGCAGCTGATAACATTGCTCTCAAATACAGAAGCTACAGGGAACAGTTTATACACTATGATGTTTTACTATCTACTAATTTATTATTATTTATTATTTACTAGTTAGAATTATTACAACAATGTGGATAGATATTTAAGAATGTTGAGATGTTATATAACTTAGTCAAGGCCAAATGGTGAGTGGCAGAGATTGTCCAGCCTGAAAGGTCACCTATGCTTCACTGTCCTGATATACAGATGCCCTGTGGATACATCATCTGACAATGGCATCTTCTTGATATCTTCAATATTAAAACCTCATATTAGTAATCTAAAGCCAAAAGAAAGAAAAGAACACCTCTATAAAAGGGAGGTCAAAGGCAATGTGCAAAAACAGGAAAATAAAATAGAATTTTAAACCACTAGACCAGAATTTAAATCCAAGCTGACTTACTTATGAACTCTTTAATCATGAAAAATTTCCTTTATATCTTAGCCTCAGTTTCCTCATCTGAAAATTAGGATGATAGTAAGATATCCCTCTTTGATGTGATTCATATGTTGGAGGACTTAAAAAGAGATGATATAATGCCTGTAATCATACATTAGAGATTATAAAAAAAATATTCTGATTATAGCAACCCCATTCTAAGGAAGAGAGTGTTGACTAATCTAATGAGAGGGTTAGTCTCTGAGAATATCAGAGTAGTGTAGATGGGGCTTAAGGGAATCAGAGCAGTATACTCAGAATTCAGAGTTCACCTGAGAAAAAAACCCAGAAGATGAGCTCTGACAATTGTCAGAGCTTAAATTAGTCTTGCCATTTTGAGGAGAGCAAATGATTGTGGGATCCTCATTAGAATAAGTTATACCCCATGTATGTAAAATACATCAAAATACACTCTACTGTTATGTATATCTGAATAAAAAAGCTTGCACATTGTGAAGCAAAGAACAGTTCAAATCACAGCTCTGACTCTTCCTAGCACAATAATCTTGTGCATATTTCTTTATAGTTTTTAATATCAGTTACTCAGTAAATGAGAATAATCACTCATTGATTCACATGTTCATTCATTCAATAACTACATATTGAGCGCAAGCCAAATTCTAGGGAGTATTCTGAAAGCTGGGGCTATAGGACCACAACAGTGACAAAACCTCTGCTATCACTGAGGTTGACCTTTCTGTGTGGTGAGAAAAAATAAATAGTATAGATTAGTAATATGTTCAATGCTCTAAAAAGGGATGAGTTCAATGGAGAAAAGTGAAGCATGGAGCAGAGGTACTGTTTTCTGGGGTAAGATTCAGTGTTGTGATAAGTGGTAGAAAAGGCCATATAATAAGTGGTAGAAAAGGCCATATAATTACTGGCATCTGAGTAGGGATTTAAAAGATATTTTAAAAAATCACAAATCTATGGAGGAAGAACATCCCAGAAAAAGAGAACACCAGATTCAGAGGTCCTGAGGTGTTCATATTTGTTTGAAAATAGTAGGGGGGGGATATGTAAATACATGATGAAATTATACTAGCAATGTGGGATGAAAGATGTCAATCAATACCTGCCTTCTAGGTAATAAGAGTCAAATAACATATGTTAAGCACTTAATACGTGATCTATCTTAAATTTTGGTCTAGCATAAACACTGAATAAGATGGTTCCTTCACCAGTCTGCCTCTACTTCAAACACTGGAAAGCACGGGTGCTCTAAATGTAAACATCTCCAAAATCTCAATGCATGAATTTTATGGGGAACACACCAGTGATTGTAGCATCTCCATATGCCTGCAGACTAAGTATCTAGAAAACTTTAAGGTTTGTTCTTTGACAGTTGACATCATTTAACTAAAAAAAAAAAATGTGATGATGTTTTGCTTACAGTAAATAAAAAATATGCTTAAATGTGCAGTTCACATTTCCTTAACAATTTCAATCAAATGGTCTGCCTAAAATGAAGCTCATGGAAACTTAAGAACCACAGAAGGGCCATATCTGAAGATACTTCTTCAGATTGGAACTGTGCTACAAAAGGCTAGGGTTTTTCTATGGGGCCAAGAGAGGGCTTGATGTGCAATGTCTAGTTCATATATATCAAACTGTTCTTTAATATATGCTAATGCTTCTGTCAATCAGAATGATATATAAACAACATTTCCTAAAATTAAAACTCTGGAGATAGAAGAATGAGACTCATAGAAATGGGATGGAATAAAAATGGCTTGGACGGACACCATTCTAATCTGGAGATATTGTGGATTAGTAATGAGTAGGCCAAGTTCACAATCCTTTGTAGGTATTTTGGGAGGAGTGGGCATGAGTGGACTCAAACTGTTGGTTACAGGGAAAGGTGGTAGAGGAAAGAAGAGAGAAAACAAGAAAAAAGTAACTAAATGTGAGATATTCCATGAAGGAAAATCCAGGTTGAGAGGGAGCCCGCTGGAGGGGACTGAACCTTTACCAGGAGTCTGAAAAACATTTGTGAAGAAAAACCTAAGTCAAAATCCAGGTGAGAAAATAGGGGAAGTTGGAGTCAGGCAGACATCATGGGGAAAAGGAAGGTAAAGAAAGAGATGCCAAAATGTTTCACAGACACGGCTAGAAGCCTAAAATGGAAAGATCATTGCTTTGAGAAAATCTGGCAAAGTTCATGAAAACAGAAGCATTGATTATAAACTGGAATAGGGAAGGCATTAGGATTGTTGTGCTCCAGAGAGGAGGTGACAGTGTACACCAAGCACACTGACAATCATTCAGTGTCATTTTTTTTAGTAAGAACATAATTTATCATCTTTATATTTTATAAGGAATACACTGGTTGCAATGCAGGAAGAGCAGTTTTTGTGTGAGACAGGAAAATAAGATTCAGCGTCTGGAGACTGTCTTATGACATCATTCCAGGTAACAAAGGAATGGCAGTAGTTGACAAAGCAGTGGGGTGAAGAAAACCAACAGATGCACTGAGGCAACTGCTAGAAAGGCAGAGGGAGGGAGGAGGAGAAATCAAGGATAAGTCTGACTACTTATGATCCAAAAATACCAGGGATGAAGGTGTGTGATTGACAGCACTATTTTCTTCATTCTTTACAAGACAGTCATGATGACAGTATTGTGACTTTGGAGATAAATATCAAAGCTAAAATGACTTTTTTTTTTTTTTGCTAATTTATATATTTATTCAGCAAATGACTTGAGCAATTGCTGTGTTTTAGGTAATGTCCTGGTCTTCAGAAATGCAATAGCAATAAGAGAATAAAAACTATTCTGTTGGGGTTTATATTCTGGGGGCATAGTGAACTATACAAAATAGTACTACTATGATGTCACAGAGCCATTGAGTCTCTGAACAATATAAGCATGATAGAGAGGGGGAAGTTGCCATTGCAACAAGGGGTCAGGGCCCTAGGGAAGGTAGCACCTGAGCAGAAATCCCCTATGACACGAGGAAACTGACCACAGGAAGACCTGGGGGAACAACATCCTAGCAAACCAAACTGTAAGGAAATCATAATGGATCTGGTCCAGAAAACTCAAGAAGACAATTATGATGGAAAAATCATTTCACAAGTGAGGGAGGGAGGGCATAGTGAATGGTGAAAAGAGAGAAGTAACAGGGCAGTGGACCCAGAGCATACAGAGGCTGACAGGCCACTGTCATGATTTTTATTTAATTTACTCTGAGAGAAAGTGGGGGAACTATAGAGGATTTGGAGCAGAGGAATAGAAAGATCTAACATATTTTAACAATATCCCCATAGCTTCTATATTGAACGAAACTATAGGTGTAGAGGTGGGCAGGAGACAGTCCAGAGGTTTCTACCACAATCTAGATGAAAGAGTACCATGACTCATGGCCAAAGGAGGTAGTGCTGGAGAGCCTAGGAAATTAAGATTCTACACATATTTTGAAGGCTGAGTTAAAGAATTTGGGTATGAAGGGCAGAAGAAGTGAAAAGTAAGAATGATTCAAGATCTCAGCTCAGGAAATGTGAAAGAACAGGTAATACTGTCAACTGGAAAGGGGAAGGAGAAACAATTTGATGGGGAGAAGTACAGGACTATCCTGGATTATCGGGGACCCTTGACAACTAATCTTTTCTATTATTTTATATTAATACAATTGTATGATCACTATATGAATCTGAATAGGTGCTCTGGCAGAGAGACTTATGAAAGCTCATAGGTTTGAAAACACTTAGGAACATTTCAGTGACTGGAAGTAGTTTAGAATGGGCTGGAGTTTAAGATTCATGTTAAGAGAATGACGAGATAAAGCCAGAGAGGTAGGCAGAAGTCTAATTACTGAAGTCTATATATCACACTATGGAATTTGGACTTTATCTTTTAAGGACTGAGGGCATACTGAAAGGTTTTCTTAGCAAGATATCCTTTAATAAAATAATCTTCCAAGATCTCCCCTCATGGACTCAATCTACTTGGTTAAAATTGCTGCCACCACAGATAACTTTAAAGTCTCTGTTAAACTAGAGAATGCTTTAAAACCACATTAGCTCCACCATGCCAGACACTGCTTATCTTTTAAACCACTACCTAAAAGAACGCATAGATCTTGCTGTTTGATTCATCATATTTTGGAGCCAAGTGAACATTTTCAGGCAAAACCCATTTCTAATCAGTGAATCCTATTGGGAGAGAGTGATGCAAATCCTAAGTTATATTCCTTCTAGGTCAAGCTATTGGCTTCAATTAATGTTTTTTCCATATGATCTATAGTGCAAAGCATATTTTTGCATACAAAGACTTATGGCATGTTACTAGGGAAAGTTTGTAATTTCTGTGCTCCAGTTGATGATAGCTTTACAAAAAAAAAAAAAAACTGGATTTCCTTTCTGTTTAGCCATCATGTTTCAAAATTACTGTAGTGTTTGCATTTTCTAGGACATAGGATTAAAAATGAGTATTTGAACCAAATGCCTGACTTTCACAGTTCAATAGTGTGGGCTTGCCTGGTGGGAAGCAAGCAAGAGTGCTTGTCATCTAAATAGGAATTATTTTCTGCATTACTAACTAGACAAGGTAATCCCTAATAGCCTTCATTTATTTTATGATGAATGTCAATCTGTTAAAAAGAAGATTGACTCCCTTTCCAATAGCAAGAGTGCAAACAACTTTATGAAAATGCATGCAGACAAATGCACTGGAAAGGCACAAAATTTTCTATACTCTTCATGCAAATGGCATTTCTCTGTGCCCCCACCCCCATCTTTCTTGTGATTTAATTTGCCTTAGGTTTCCTTTAAATGTGGTTTGGATTGGAGCTATTACAACTTGTGGTTTGTAAAATGAAAAGACTGGACCATGTGAAACTGAGGGTACTTCTCCATAGACATTCATTTAGTCATTTATCAAGTATTTATAGAATTTAAACGTAAGAGGTTATTAAAATTGAATTTTTCCCATGCCAGAGTTCTGACAGATAAGAAGGTAATAGTTATTAAGAACCTCACATCGCAAAGCTGCGTGCTAGGCTACCTTTACGACTCCTGTAGGAATCCGTTGTGCCTGCATTAATCACCTTCCAGCTCTATAAACACAGTCCTAGAAATTGAGTAGAAATGTTAGTTAGGAGTTTGTTGGAGAAAGGCTGTTTGGCGTGCAGCCAGTTCAAGGTCACTTTTTGTTGAGAGAGAGAGAGAGAGAAACTTCCTCCCTAAACTCATCCAGAGGAAAAATATTCTAAGTACACTTAGAAATATCCCCTGGATGACATGGGACACAGAAACTGATATTTGACTCATGTCTCAAAAGTCTTGAGGTAAATACCTAGGTCTGAGGCTGCCTCTGTCAAATGGCAGAGAAAAATAAAAAATAAAAAATGACCAGTGACCCTGTTAGGACACAGCTGCACTATGTTTGGAGTGACAGGTGGAAGGAAAGGATCAGCTTTAACAAATCCTACAAGACAAAGTCCCTCTAGTCATATGTAAGTGGGACAGGGAAAAGGAGCCACACAAGTAAGTGGGCCTTCACAAGCACAGCAGCTATGAGGCAGGGGGTCAAGCTTCAGCAGACTAACAGGATTGTCTTTTCAAGGTAGCTCTGTTGGGAAATCCCCAGTGATCTGAGAACCTCACCAAAGCCCTTCACAAAGGAAGCAGCAGCCAGTGCACAACTTCCATCCATAGGACACTAGTGTTAGAAGAGCCTGCACCAGTTCCGTGAGATCTTATTCTCTGTCCCATAAAGCTGGCTCACACTGGGGACAGAGATTCATAACATCTATGAGTTTTGGAGCCAATTATATTGCATGCATGTATGATGATGTCAAAATGAACCCCACTATTATGTATAAGACACTACTAAAAACATAAAAATAAAACAAAAAGTGATTTAGAAAGTAAAAAGGGCAGCTGCTGATTCTCAAAACTTCCCACTAACTTCTTGGATTGTGGCTGGAGAGGGAAGGTATAGAAACTTTTATTAAGTCTTAATATAATATTGAATTAATTATCTAAATGTAACTTTCCTTATGAAAGAGCCCACATCCTGCAAAGAACTTATTAGCCATGAACTTTTCTTGAGTGCAGTGAATACATGTCTTTGCATGAAATTTTGAATTTCAGGGAACATGTCATTTCTATTTAATAATGTCCAGTGCTTACTGAGTGCTCATCAGACACCAGGAAATTTTGAAAAGTATTCTTCAATAGAGCAGTACAGTTTTGGTTCTCATTGTATAAATCAAGAAAATGAGGCATAAAAGATTTAAATCACTTCCCAGTATTGTAGAGCAGGGCCTTATAACTGGACAGTCAGTTTCCAGGGTTCATGTTCTTAATGATTTCCTACATCATTAGTATCCCCCAGATACATTTTACAGGTTCTATAGAACAGTTACCCATATTTTATTTCACTGATGATCATTATATACCTAGGTTTCTTTGAGGGCATCATTATTTAAAATATCATCTTTTTAAAGATGTTATATGTATCCTCAAATATCATTTTTTTTGTAAATTCCTAGGTATGCCTCATGATGGAGCATAAACAACATTAAAATTTTATTTGGATAAATCTCCTGTTTTACATAGAAAAGATGAAGTTTTCCCATGTCATAGTAAGTAGTGGAATCTGATAGAATGCAGTTTTCCTAATGCCAAACTGAGAATTTTGGTACATGGTAGGTCAATGGAAATGATAGCTACAAGGATTACAGTGTTTGCCTTTCTTGAGAGAATTTGGGGAGCCAACAAAACATTAAGGTCTCAGATCTGCCCAGGTACTAAGACACCTATGCTATCAATAATACAGTCAGAACTTGGTGTTAAATCTTCCATTTCAACTCCAAAAAAAAATGGAAAATAAACAATAACACAAATAACCCTTTTCTGGGACACTATGCAAGTTGAATATGCCACTATTTCTGGTGCTGAATTAGTTCTCTCTTGCCTCAGAGCAAAATTCCATTACATAAATTAATGTGCATTAGCTTGAGAATAAATGACATAAAATGTTTATGAGAATGGAGAATGTATGTTGGGAAAGATTAATAAAAACTTTCTCCATTTGAATCTTACAGTAGAGTCTGTCATAACTGTAGGAGTAGAAAGATTTCAGTAGCAGGAGATAAAATCAAAGGCACAGCATTATCTTTTACCTCCTGGGTATCCTCAGAGCAGTAGCCTATTATTGCTGAGTCTCTATTTTATCCCTAGGTTAACTGATGAAAAAAAAAATCAGCAGTAGCTATCATTTTAAAAAAAATATTTTTTAGTTGTCAATGGACTTTTAATTTTATTACACAGGCTAGTCAAGCACTCTACCATTGTGCCACAATTCTAGCCCCAGTACCTATCATTTCTACTTACCTGCTGTGTATCAGATACTCTAAATGATTTTAATAGGATATCTCATTTAATCTCATAATAATATTATGAGAAGGTAATATTGATATCCCTTTCCTGGTAGCAAACCAAAAGTTAGAAGCATTAAGTATATCTGATCAAATGTCACAGATCTTGGTCCATGGAAGAACTTCAACTTAAATTGAATTAGTATGACTTTGAAGACTGTGCTCTTAATTCACACTCTGTTTCCTGTGTTCCTGCCGTAGGCACAACAAAGATGTTGAAATTAATGTATAAAACAATGCACATAATCAAAGAGTAGACTATGGCTCATTACTCACATAATTTATTTGGCTTCCCATAAAATCTGTCAGGTTTAACTGCCTTTGGGCATAGATAAGGTGATCAAGAAGCAGCAGATTATAATGCAAAGTATGTGAAGTTTGGATTTGGTCATATATAAGTGAGAATCCCAACTCCACCACTGACTATCTGGGTGACACTTACATGTCTTTTCAAACAGGCACAACTGGGTGAAACAAGAAGCCTCATGAGAAATAGCAAATGCAAAAGTTTGGCACTCATGACAGAGGTATTGCAGGATAATATGAGTTTCACATCAGAGAGGCTGTTCTAATATCAGAACAATCTTCTGATCTTGGGTACAGTATTGTTTTCACCATCCCAGGCTGTATCTTTCTTTTCCAACCCAAATCCCTGTTTGTGAACAAAAGACATTGCTTCCTATAGTCGTACTGGAGAGACTTGAAATCTGCTTTTTGTGAGGAAAAAGAGAATGGAAATGGTTTTACATATTTTTCTATATGTCTGAGACAAAATGATCATCCTGGGCAGGATCAAGGACAGGATTATAAAACGGTTCCAAGTGGCTAAGAATTGAGTGGTATCTCCATTCTGGAGCTATGGAGAAGTGATTTGTACCTTAGCCCAATTTATCCATCATAAGCAAAAGAAGAAAAAAGTGGAATGTTTGGAACTAAAAAGAGGAAGGGGGAACTGAACAAGAAAAAGTCTCCTTCCTGCTATGAAGGTGAATGGTCTCAGTATTAGGGAGCGTGGGGTCCTCTCAACTTCCAGCTCAGTGCCTCCCTTATGTCAGTCTTATTTTTCTGAAATGAAATATATCCAGTTCAGGAAGTTCTTCAACCAAATTCACACTCATCTGACTTTACAGGGATTTAAAAAGAACATGAGCATCTATTCTTTTACAGGCAAGTTCAACTGGAAAAGAACACAGAGAAACCTCAAATCTTCATATCCACCTCCCCACAAAATTCTGCTTACTTTTGTGGGGGGAGGCATCTAAACACCAAAATTAGGAATATTAATAACAGAAGTTGCCATTTACTGAGGGTGTGCCATGTGCCATCATCCTGAGAGAGGCTAAGTTAGAAAAGTTAAGTAACTCCCCTGATGGCTTATGAATTTGAAGGATTACCTTGGCATCCATTCTTTATCCAATTTACCTATTTGTAGTCCTGTGATATCTGGAAATTGAAGAAAGGTTTTCTTCTTTAAGGTGAAAATAAAATTATGATCTACTTTCTTAAAGATTTTAAAACCTACCCCAGGGATAGAGGTCACCAGAACAATCACAAATAGATGAATATTGATAGGAATCACTCAAAATAGGTGCAAGATTTAAAATTTGGAAGACTAAAGGAATCTTTGGCTCTGATCATTTTTTAATCCTGGTAAATAGATTTTGAACTCCAGGCAAACAATTACTTTCTATCTGCATACATGAAAGTCCCTGGGGCACAGAAAAGATACTAGAAAAAATTATCCTGCAAAAAAGTCATTTCTTTTAGGAAAGGTTAAAAGAGGCCCAATAACTAAGAAAAAAAAGTAAGTCTGTCTATGATGTTTATGTTTTCTTTGTAAATTTAAGAATAAAAATATCATTTGTTATTACAAACAATTTACAATCATTACAAAAAATAGAAAATTCAGACAAGCAAAATAGGAAAATAATTACTATTAAAATTTATATTGTGAATGGATAATAATGTTAAACTTCTTTGTAATTTATTATGTCCCTGAAAAATTATATAATTTCATTCTTCTTTGTGACTGGCTAAAACTCTATTGTTTATATACGTACTATTGAACATTTTTGATCAGATGTTTTCATGCTTCCCAAAGGCTTAGAGACCATGAAAGGGTCAATGGTTATGTGAGTTTATTGAATTACAACAAATAAACCCACTTCCGAAACAATTGTAGAAAAAGTCAAGGTCTGCTATTTTTATAACATAAACTTGTGTTTTCAGTTATTTTATACCAGACTATGGTTTCGCCTATAATTTGGTGAGTCTTGTCCATCTCTAACAGTCAGATTCATAAGACACTGGTTATGGATACCAGATATCTGTTCAATTATGTTTCTACAACTTATAATTAATATAATATGTAAGAGAGGAAATGCAGTATAACTAGGGGATTTGTCTCTACCATCACAAGTAGCAATCTTGTATTACATCACTAGCAAAATACCTACTAAAATGTGCCTAATTAAATAGTCTTTCCATGGAGAAAGTATTTTTGTGCAAATTCCCCATAAGATATCTATGTGTGTCTGAGTTTAACACAGAAATCATCTGTTTATTGTACATTTAAATTTTTCTACTGAAAAACAGAGTCAAATATCCTCTATTCCTTCAGGAGAACATAAGGGTTGGAGTCAAATATTCTTGGGACGTGGTTGGAGTATGTTTATTCCATCAGGTGAGAGTTGCCATAGAACAGGTTAATTTTCCCCTTCATTTTGTTTTTTAAGATTATAAGAAAGTTTGCCCAAATAGCACATGATGGACATCAGCCAGTCTCTGGCTCTTGAATGGTCAAGAATTTTCTAATTATAGTCAACCCTAAGCACCTCTAAAAATCTCCAAAAGATGCTTTAAAATTCCTTTTGTCAATAAAAATTGTTTTTAGTTTTCATATTTTTATAACACTGAGAAACATACGTCTCTGTGTGTGTGTGTGTGTGTGTGTGTGTGTGTGTGTGTGTGTATGTAAAATGCTACATACATCTAGACTAGACATTCTCAATGGGGGCAGTTTTGTCAATTTTGTCTTCCTGGGTAAATCTGTCAATGTCTGAAGACTTTTTTTTATTACTCTGCCTACAGGTGTAGGCACTAATGGCATTTAATTGACAAAGTCCAGTGATAGTACTGAATATCCCACAGTGTGCAAGACAGCACTCCACAACAAAGAATTACCTGGTCCAAAACATAAGTAATTTCCAAGTGAAAGAATTTTTATCTAGACATAGCTCCACACATTTTGTTTAAAGTATACTTGTTGCTTGTAGATTTGCAAGTAGAAATACCAAGTAGAAGACAGACTCTCTCAATTCTACTGTGATGTGGCAATTAAGATATCTCTGAATTTAATGTAGCTCTTTGATTTTGCATTTTGGAAAGTCTCTAAGAGGACTTGTTACTTTTTCCATTTTTTTCTGTGATTGGCTACACTATGTTCCCATTACATCCTATCTGTTTAGTTCTTAAGGAGGTTAAAAATAGAAGTTTTATCACAGGTACTTATCCTTCCAAAAATACTATTCTTAATGATTGTTCATCTATCTCATTCTTTACACATCTCCATGAAAATTGTGAAACTAAATCAAAGTTAAAGGCTCAGAGAAGAAACAGTCAAAGGATAAGAGAAGAATGAAGATGATGTCTTCTCTATAAACTAACAGAGGCTAAATATTTGCTAATCCCTAGTGGGTTATGGAAATTTAAATTTAATAAAATCTCATCAATAGAAAAAAAAGGCAGAGTTGTTCGTTTTTCTGTTACATAATAGCAAGTGGGATAGATAGGCATTTTCATAAATGATTTCAATGATTTTTAACTATACTTGAATTTTGAAAGGCTAAGTATCACCAGCAATAAATAAAATCAATAACCAGACAAGGGCAAGGGTAATACATTTAAGACTAAGTGTAAGTAGACTCTATGTAGCTCCAACAAAGATAATAAATAAAAGATTTAGTGGGATCATGCAATAAGACCTTCACAATGCAACTGCACTTTTCCTTTGACACCCTGGTTCTCAAGGCATCTAGTATGACTATTCCCAATGGCAAATAGGCTTACTTCATATTTATTGCTAATGATCAACATGACAAAATAATTTAGAGGCAACATGGCACAAACTCTCAGTGTTTGGCTTATCACTCATCTAGATCCCTTGCACACAGCTGAATAGAAAAATATTTACTTCATCTTTTTAATGAAAAAATATGAGCAGAATTAGACTGTTGGGCAATATCCAGTGGAATGGTTTTGCTGCAGATGAGAAAAGCATCACCCACAGAGGAAGTTTATTTAACTTGAATGTACTTTTTCCCTGTGATGATTGCCCATGAATCCAAGAATATGCAATTATTGATCTCAACTTTAACATTTATCTAGAAACCCAAGGCCTGCCTATCTCTATTTTCTTTCTGCCCCAGGTTTTGATTTCTTCTTCATCTATATATTTGGTGTTCCACATAATGGGCCAGAGTGTAAGCATTGATTTGATCACTCACTTATTGAGTGGAGAAAAGGACAAAGGACAAATCAATAAGGCACAAGAAACCGGAATCAATTTTTCCTGGGCTTCCACTGACCATAAGCCCTGGTTTGAACAATTTTCCCCTCCAAGTTATTTATAATATAAAAATAATAAGAACCTTACAATCATGCTTGTGGTTAAATAGTATAATAACTGGAAATTCTCAATGAAAATGCAGATTTGTGGACCCACCCCTCAATATTCTAATTCAGTTTTTCTGGGGAGGTGATCCAGGAATCTACATTTTAACAAGAAGTCCACATATTATCTTTGAGAAACAGGCATAGTTGATAATACAGGCAATATGGGATGCAAGTTGAGTTTTACTCTGGGTTTAGTAATTGCAAAAAATGTTGAACTTAAGCTTTAGTTTGTCATCTATAAGATAGGAGTAAAATATCTTTGCCTTTTGTTTGTTAGCTCTCAGTATTAAGATATTCATTTAAAAAGCCCAATGCACAATTAGTACATAGTAAATGCATTTCATTAACAGTAGTATCTGTCATCCTTGACATTATCTGCCCTCACCCATTCCTATATATTCATTTGAGGGAAATATAGGAGATCTAGAAGTAATGAGAGTCCTTTATATATTTTTTTTTATTTTAGAAAACTTAATGAAAATTAAATATTTGCAATAAGGGCATGTATGCTAAATTACCATTAAATTTATTTGCTTTTGGCAACAATTCTTTAACTCCATGTGATAATTTTCTCATGCTGTTCAGATGCTGTATTTGGTCTTTTTATACTTTAAAAAAACAATTATTATTTAATAAATGTTATTTGATTTATTGATAATGTCACAAAATATGAAAACAATGGTGTTGATATCATTTATTGATTTCCTAGTTGAATAATTTATGTAGTAAAATTTGACAGGTTTTTAAAAAACTTAGGCTGCCTTATATAGGCAGTACATGGGTAGAGTATAGTAAATGGGCAAATTTTAAAAACATTATCTAAATTCATAAACTTTCAAACATGAAGAAAAGGACACCACTGCTTTGCTTAGATTCTCAGCAGCAGACAAAATACTCTTCTCTTTGTGTAATAACAGAGGTAATAATATAGTATCCTATTTCCTTTTTCTATCCTATGATACAAAGAGCACCAAGTGTGATATCAAGACTCAAAATCACATAATGCAGTAACTTTAACTTATGAAAACACGAGAAAACACAATTAAATATTTACTTTTACAGGGCATTAAACCCGTTGCTTGCATTGACACATATATTGACATGGACATCAAATTTCATTTGTATTCAGGAGAACTTTCAAATCATCAGGAAAGCTTGATTTCACTAAATAATGCCAAGTGTAAACACCACAAATAGAAAGGTGCACATGTTACAATCTTAATAATACTAATTGACTTATATTACGAGGTCCATGAATGATAACGCACCTAATAAACCAATATTAGAATAAAATCCCAAGCATACCAATAAACCTGCCGCTACAGTTTTTTAATGTGCTTCTATGCAAGGAGCATGTGCTGCTAATTTAGATTCCGTTGACGCAGCAGATTGTTATAACTCCAACGGGTCCTGGGTGATGCTACCCAATTGATGATAAGTGGGGCAGGTCAGTTCATCAGGCTTTATCTCTAATTAGCAATAAGAACGCACACTGCAAACTATAGCCGAGGAAAGGCCTGACCTTGCTAAATGAGACACACATTGGAGGGAGGGCAACCGAAGCTCAGTATTTCAGAGGGAGGAAGCCTATTATGAAGCAAGCAAATGGTACCCACTTTGGAAGAGCCACATCTGCCATCAAAACACAATGTATCAAGTCAACCCACAGAAACCTACTCCCAGAGAAACATCTTATGTTTTACCCTCCCCCACATCTTTCTCCTTACCTAGGAAGAAGAGAAAAAAAAAAAAAGCTAGATTTACCTTTCTCGCAGTGGCTTCCTGTGAATCCAGGTGGACAGACACATTTGTTAGGAGCCACACATGTTCCACCATACCTGCAGCCCTCCTCGCAGAATGCTGTAACAAAAGAATGTAGGAGTTCACTTAGATGAAATGCAGTAGGGAAATTCACGGAAAACAGCATGAGTATTGAAAGGATTCTTTCTTTGTTGCATAGGGAATACACTTCTGTATTGACTTATTTAAAAATTTCCATGCACAAAAAGAAATAAATGTAACAATATCTATTTCACTGATTTATGTAAAATCAATCAAAATAATGGATGTGAAAGTGTTTAACACAGGGCTGGCAGGTGCTAAATGATAGCTATTACTAAAGATATAACTATCACTGTTATTATTGGTATATTTGAAATCCAATAGGATACATTGAGTAATTAGAAATGGTAAGGTCAGGGTGATGGCAAAGGCTTTTTAAATTGCTGACTTGTATAATGAACCACTTTTCACTGAATATCTTTTATGACAATAATTTTCCTATTTTTTAAAAAATTGGTAGTTGTTAAAATTTTGATAACATAATAAACCGAACAAACAGCTTACTTTTGAATTTTTTAGCTGTTTTGAATATTTTGGTGATAAAAATAATGCATTGTCTTTGTAGCTAATATGCTTAGCTGAACCTAAATTATTCCTTTGGGGAAAATGCCTTTGTAAATACTGCTTGAAAAGGTATGGATTCAAGCCTATCGATAAGCCTTGAAAAGTTATCCCAACAGTGTCCCTGCCCTCCCCTGCTCACCCTTCCAGATGAGGTCAGTTCCATGTGTTACTCATTGACATAGCATAGCAAAGCAACCTGCGCTCTGCTCTCGATGATAGCCCGAGGGACAATTGTACATTTATATATAATTGATTACCATTTCCTTCTCATCCAATGGACTATAAAACCCATAAAGATAAATGTTTCTGCTCACCACTGTAGCCTTGATTCAGTATCTGACCACATAGCAAATGCTCAAAAAAAATTGGTTGAATGATTTACCCTTCATCTTGCAAGTTTTTTTCTGATAGGAAAACTCTTGTTCTAACAATTTCGTGTCACTTCAATCCATAATAATTTATTTTCAAATGCTGCTAAATAACCAATAATTGAATATACTACTTAACAAAAACAGGAAAATGTCTTCTTAATGAAGATGATTGGAACTGTTAACCCTGAGTTTCTTTTATCCACATGAAAGCTAGGCACGCAAATGTTTTAAATTTTAATTGTAGCTAGAAAATGTCACCCTGGAAAAATGTCATGGTTATATTTTGCTATCATCACATAATTAATATGAGCCTAGCTTTAAAAAGCCACGTGATGTATTTAGATAGTTGAACACCAGTCCAAGTATGAAGGATTTCTCACAGTGTTGTCGTTTTCCACATCATTTAATATCCTTTGGATGATTTAACA